CCATGCCCACACATACACACAGAAGATGTGCAAATAGAGGTTTGATGTATGGAGAAATACGAAAGAGAAAGGGAGGGGGTATTATTACTCAGTTTTCCTGGCAGATGGTGCCTCATGTCCATATGCACTAAGGAACAATAACACACCACACAAAATGTTCACACACTAACACACACGCAATGTTTCTGTAAACAATATGAGGATATCTTCAACTGACATAAAATTCCTGAATCAACGCTTTTTAATGTTTTTGTGTTAAATAACTGGACAGTGAAGCAACATGGATTCTTGGGATGTTTACTTCTGAAAAGGGGATTAAAATAGCAAGTTCACACTCACCCACTACAGTACAGTATGTAGGGAAACTGAAGAGCTCAGTGCAAATTGATTAAGCAAGGAAATGACTCACCTCAAAAATAGATTTTTTTTTCTATATTTTCTCTCTTTAAGCTGAATTTTATGTAAAACATCATATATTAAAATGAAAGCCAAATGACAGATTCACAGACAAAATAAAAATTTCCGGTTTACATTTTTTAACCACTCTTCTCTATGTCCTCTCTTCTTGGTATAATCGGCTACATTTGTTCCTCACTGGTTTTCTCTGTTGCAGTACACCCCCTCACTCTTGATTACTATTGTTCTCTTTCTTTCTTCCATTCAAAAATAATCACCCTGCTGTTCTTTTTGACCTTAAGTGGTACTAAGTCGACAGCAACGGCGGGTCCAGCTCATGCGGATCAGACAAAGGGAGGAGAAGCTGAAAAAGGAGAAAGAAAACAAGAAGAAGAAAAAACGTCAAAGCCAGAAGACTACCGTCAAGCAGAAGGTTCATTCCCATCACCACCAACATCACCAGCAGTACCACCACCCAGTGTCATCCCACACTCATCACCAAAACCAGAGCTCTCAGCAGCCTAAGGTCCCTCCCCCTCCTACACATACAGAACCCGGATATCACCGCAAACCCAATCCTAAAAGACGCTTTGATGGAGATGTGCTTTCTCCGGTAATATTACAAAGCTTTTGTATTCTTAATACTTAAGGTAAACCGTTATTATAGATGTTAGTATCTAAACTATTACATAGATTTATTTTTCTTTTTTGGAATCCACTGGTCAAACAACAATACAGATTGTATTATTTATGGTGTCTTGTTTATTTTTATTGTGCAAAATGTGTCTCAAACACGTACTGTATTCATAATAGGGCTGGGCAATACTGTTTAAAAATCAAATTTACAATTTTTTTCCTTAGATTTTCTTTTGTTGTTTTCCAGCGTTTTTATTGTCATTACATTGTCACAAGTACAGAGCAACGAAATTAACTCTCTGCATTTACCTATCCCCTCGGGGAGCAGTGGGCTGCCATTGTGCGCCACTCAGGGAGCAGTGAGGGGTTAAGGGTAAACTGATTTCACCCGCAGGCCAAGGAATGCTTTAATTAAGATTTTTCCAAGAATTGGATCTTCATAAACAAAAAATGTAATTTGAATATATTTTATTAATTAATCGTCCTGCCCTAATTAATAACTGTTTCCTTATTTTATTGTGATGCAATGACACATTAGAATGTATTTTATTGAGAATTAATTTGATGGTCCAACCTCAAGTATCACAAAAACACAATGTAAATGATAATTTTTTTTCCTACAAATAATAACAACATGCAAAACTGTGGCATACATTTAAATGTATTCAGCCCCATTAACCATGATACCCCTAATTAAAACCCTGTTTAATCAACTGCTGTCAGATGTCTCCTGATTAGTAAGTTTAGTCTAATTTAATAAGCAATATGTGGCTGTTCTGTTAAGACCTCAAACAAACAGAACTATGAAAACATGCCAGACAGATCAAGTATGAAGCTGTTGAGAGGGGTATATTTGCAAACCTACAATGACATGACAATCCAATTACATCCTCAGGCCAAGCAAAGAAAGCATTTTAGACATTTACGAAAAAGATTGTGTGTGCTGACTGTGTTTTTGCAAAATGGTCTGTAAAATAAAATCTGAATAAAATACATTCAAGTTTTGTGCTTGTAAAGGTACATAATGCAATCCAATTCAGGAGATAATTTGTTCTTTCTTGCTAACTTTTTATGAAATACCTGTTTGCTTGTATACAAAAATAATTTTGTATGATATTTTACCACAAAACAACCACATAACCATTGGCAGTCTGTTTATGATACCTTTTCTCTGTCCATCCACAGAGCTACATCAGAAGTTTCAGAGACAGACAGACTGAAAGACGGTCATACTCCCACACTCGAATGAGTCGCTCTCGGATGGCTCAACTTGACTATGACTGTGGCTCTCAAGTGCCTCTCACAGTCCCCAGTGGACCTCCAGTTCGGATCTGAAAACATTTAAACAACCACTGCCTCCCTCAAAAACTCTAAGAGACCAACAAAGGTGAAGACTTCATTAAGTCCATTCAACTGCCGGTTTAGCCAACTGAAGCTGATGTCTTCAAGATTATTTAACCTTAAATGGTTCAACCATGTTTGACTTTTTTTCTGCCCATTTAGATCTTTTAGACAGACTAAGGAACCAAGAATTTTATCATGCAGGGAGCACAAATCAATTGCCATCAGATTATTCCATTTTTGCCTCTGTCATTTTTCTTTTTTTTTGTCGAGGCAGTGGAGAAAATGGACCTGTTTTATATGTAATCAAGTAAAGCGATGTGGAGGTGTCTTTGTCAGTGTGATGTACCATTTGACCTGCAATGGAATTGCTTATATCTTGAAATATCAGGGTAATGATAGTTTTGTTGTTTTGTTCTCTTTTCATTAGGAGTTTTGCTTTGCAAGTTGTTCAAGGATGATCCCTTTTTGCTTTAGTTCTGGGGAGAATGCAGAGCAAACATAAAAACAAAGCTCTTCATTTTTTTTCATGGAGGTCTCTCTGCAAGAAAGAGTATTTTTTCCATTGGCCTTATATTTTTCACCATAGCTTGTAAATTCACAAAATGGTATCTGATCCTGTCTTTTATTTTTCTCCACAAAAATGGAGAGTTTTGGGTGTGAATCGAGCTGAACGGTTCAATCCAAAGAGCTCTTTTTTTAAATTCCCATTTTCTGCATATTGTGCCATTTTACTAGGTAGACATGTTTACACCTCATTACTGACCTCCCTACATGCTTGAGCCCAGGCCTTTTGTTTCTATGTTTAAGTGGACTCCTGAGCCCAGCCCTTCTCTGATGGGCTAGCTTAATTATTAGCAAACATGAGGGGGATTCATTTAAATCTCTGACAAGCATGCTGTACAATACTCTTCCCCCTCTTGTTTCGCCATACACTCCTTTGCTTAAAAGGATTAAATTCTGAAGGTTTTTAGGACATGAAGAGAAGGCCTTAAAGAAAGATTATCTTTTTAAAAAGAGGGAGATAAGATGAAATCATATGCAAATGGCACACTCTAATGTTTACTGCTGGACCTGTCTTTTAGACCTATTGTAGGTGTGTTTGTGTCAACATTGACTTTAATGTTAGCCTCTTTTTAATTAATGGGTTTCTTGTATTTATTCTGTTGAGCCACCATCAAGACAGAACAGATTCAATGTTTCTCAAAAGGAGTTTTATTTTATCTCAACCTTACTTAAACCTGAGATTTTTTTTTTAAAACGCACAATTACTACTTAAGGAAATGTTACAATGAACAGTGACTGATTAAACTGGCTGAAACGATATTTTACAGTTTGAAGTTCGAGGATAGTTAAGCAAAAGAAAGATATTTGCATTTCAACTTAACTCTTTGTTACTGGATTACAAATTATTTACATCATAATCCACTGTTGCATGACAAAACGTGTGTTATAACTTTATCCATTGTGTTGTGTTGTCGTTGTTGCCGAGATCTTTTTACCAAGAGTGTCCGGTTGAGTGGAGGTTTGAAGAGGACCCAAATACAGAGACTGAAGCTAAAGTGGTTTATTGGAGATTTAATAACAAAACATGGCAACTGAAGCAAAATCCAAATATACCAAAATATAGAAAACGTCATGGAAAACACATGAAGAGCAAAGAAATGACGAGGAAACAACAAAGACCAGGCTAATCAGCAGATTGGGAGCAGGTGTGGACAGAAGAATCTAGAAGGGAGCTAGGGGAAAGGACACTTACACAAGAGGGCAACAGGGGGCAAACAAGAAATACATAAGAAATAAAATACAAACAGAAACACCACAAAATTGGAATGAAACCAATAAAACTAAAAAAAAAAAAACTTCAAACAGAGCCAAAACCATGACAGAATAAACTCTATCCTTGCTTCTTGTGTCCAATGTCCAAGTAGAATTCTTTAAGAGGTTATGCTTTGTTTTTCAATGGATAGTTCAGTGTATCTGAAGTGAAATTACTCATACAGGTATGTAGGTTACAAACAGGTAATTATATCACCCTCAGTGGTATAAATCCAGATCAGTAGATTCCAAAAGCTGTAGCAATGTTTTAGTGTTAAACTGAAATAAATCTCATTCTCAGAATCATCATAACCTTTTATATAATCACTATTTTATAAATTTAAGCTGTTGTCAGATGCACATTCATAATTGATTAACAAAGAAGACAGCAAATGTTTCCACAAGCAAGATAATAGATTTAGTGTACCACTTATGATTATTTTGTGTGAAATATTAGCTGATTGGTGGAATATGGGAAAGCCTTTTTGGTCAGAGTTTTAAAAAAAGCTCAAATATCCTGCGAGTTTAGGAGAATGTTTTATATGGAATTTTACACTGTCTTACTTTTCTATTTGGTATTTAATCTGACCAGAATATGCTAAACATCTTAGGTTCTCAGGGCACGTTACATAAAGAAAGATTAATATGATGCACCACTTCCTATTTTAATTTGGTACAGCTATGGTCAAGAAATCTGGTCCTCAGCCAAAGAACGAGATCCCAGATACAAGTGGCTGAAATTAGCTTTTTCTGCAGGGTTGCTGGGCACTCCCTTATAGGGGTGGAGCACCATCTTGAGAGAGATGCTTAAAGTTGAGCTGCCTCTCCTCCACATCGACAGGAGTCAGCTGAGCTGGCTAGGGTATCTTTTTCGGAGGCCTCAGGAAGGGTTCCAAGGATGACCCAGGATAGGATGGAGAGACTGTGTCTCTTAGCCAGCCTGGGAGCACTTTCTAAATTGGAAGTCCCTGGTTCTCCCTGCTTATACTGATGCCCACCCAGTCCTGGATAAAGTGGAAGACGACAAGTACAGATAAATAATGGTTGCATTAACCGCACTGATAGTCATTTTACTGGAGTATATTTAAATATAATGTGATAGAAGTCCACTTTTGGTCTCAGATTAGACTTTAGCTTCAGTCTCATTGATCAACTAATCTTAATTTATGTATATGATACTAAGATAGTTTTCAACAGCAGACAACTGTACCTTGTAACAGAAGCTCAGTTTAAAAAAATCAGAGCTTTTAATTAAAACCATCTTCTGTTCCACTTCATTGTAATACTCCTGTGGTCTTTCACCATAGTCTCCGTAGTGGTGTAATTTTTTTTTTTTGCTTGTACCTCAGTCCTCTGTTTTATTTGACCTACTTGTGTTTTACTGTAGTAGTGATGTATGTTATCATATGTAAAAGCTAATCATTGGTTCCTCTCTTGCTTGTAATTGTTAAAGAAATCTGGTCATTCTTCAATGTATATCGCTTTTTCTTTTCATGTAGTACAACATTTTGATTGTAGATACTGACTTGTAAATAACCTTTCAGTCTGCAAATATTTGATTTTGTTATTAACATTAACATTATGCTGTGTTTGTTTTTTGCAGCTGAATATTTTTAATGGAGTAGACCCGTTTATGCTGTAAACCTGCTCTATGTTATTGATTTGACCTAATGTAAATATATCTTTCTCATCCTGCTGTTTAAATATGTGATGATAAAATTCAGGAGAAAAATTTTAAACTTTAATTTGAACTTGGCTCTGACTCTTATTATTGTCACACAATTAGTTAAAAAACAAACGTCTACTACGGAGATAACTTTGGTACTGGATTCAATATGGATGTACAGACAGCCCCTCTAAGCTCTGACTGTAAAATTGTAGTTCAGAGGCGTCGACTGCATGATAATAGTTGTCCTATTAAATGAATTTCACAATGTTTCTGATTATGGTCTAAAATTATGTTATTTTACTGGCCTGCTACATAAAGATATATAGATGTAGGGAAGAAGAAGAATATATACGTATATAT